TAATCAGCAAAGAGCTGGCAATAAAGCATCCAACTGACCTGGTGGTAATAAGCCCTGATGTTGTTGCCACTTCAACGCTTGCGCTAATAAGGCCAACAATCTGGACGGTGGAACCACATTCACTTCAGCAGAAAGTGACTGAAAAAGAAAACTTTTTTTATAAGAACCACAAATTGAATTGACACTTTTCAGATGGATCGCTCGGTATACTGATATCACACTGTACCACCTAATAACTTTAATTCACCTAAAAGAAATTTTAACTAATCGTAATCTAACCTGTGCGATTGCTGCACGTCGCTTCTCTTTCGAACTTCCCTCTGGATAGATCTCACGCGGATCGAAGTAGGACCTTGCTAACAGATTATCCAAACGAGCGTACCTAAACAACAAATTCATATTCGAGACTTTCTTTAACAATTAGATTCATTTAATCATTTCAACGTATCTAAAACACCTAAAATTTGCTTCCACTGCTTAACGTGAACTCAAATTCCATGGGATAAACACAAATAGATTCGTGTCGATGAGATAAAAGAGATAATCGGGACGATATGAAACAATACCTCTCAGGTTCCATGTTCTTCAGCAACTGCATTGGATCAGTTTGTCTCAGCAGCAGACGTGCACATCCAATCTCGCGGAGTTCTGTCAGCTCGATAACAATCTAAATCGCCTGTTCACTAATTTCCACTCGATCACATCAAATAGCCACTCACAAAAATCGCCTTTCAATTGGCGGTCCAAATTAGCAAACTGATTATGAGCGAATAGCGTGCATTAATAATAAAACAATGATATCGCTCGCACCTGCTCGTAAAGATCAATCAATTTCTTCGCGGGTAATTTCAGTGGTTGAATCACCTTCAGCACCGTATCCCAATGACCACTCTGAATCTCGTGCACAAACGAATCGATACTATCCACTGTATTCAACGTGATATTCGTTTCTTCCTGAACAAAACAAATCAAAAAATGTAAACATATCAATTGTCTCAAATCCAGTCAAATTCAAAATTCTGTAAAAACCGATCAAAATTGGCTATCTAAACTCCTGGAATTGACAGCTTCCATTTCAACAAGACATTTAATTCATTTAGAAAACTACTCTCTCCCGAAAGCGGAATAAAA